TCCCAGGAAACTGCCTTGCCAATTGCCCAGCCATGTTTTAGGCCCCATGGTAGCTATGCATCCCACTGCCTAGCTGTCTGTCCAGTTCTCTGTCCAGATGCATGTGGCTATCTATACCTATATACATATTCCACTGAAGATGCCTACCTTATAGCTTTCCTTATAGCTCCTTTTGCAAATAATTCTTCCCCCACCACTAGCCCTTTGAATAAGCTGCTTATATATGTAGGTATGCATGCCTGCACATTGCACACACTGTACGGAACAGGGAGAGTTAATATCACAGAGGCAAGGGGGATACTTACAATGTTCTAAATTATTCTAAAGCAAGCCGAAAACCATGCCCCCCTTTTTTTTGTGGCACAGTAAGATTATTTTAAAGCATAGTTCTATTTAAAGGAAGCAGAGGCCACGAACACACACTGTGAAAGAAGGAAGGAGAGGAACCTACCTGGCAACAGTCCACAAGGCAGACCATTTTCTGGAGAAGTTCCTTCTCTATTGCTGTGATCACCTCAATGCAGATTATGGCCGCAGTGGACACCCCGATCTGGAAATGGCGTGCCACTCTCTGGTAATTGAGGGGGGCCGAAAGCCACCAGATGGTGATTGCAACCCTCTCTTCAATGGAGATGGCCCTCCTCATGATGGTGTCCCTGGCCTGTAGCTGAGGGCGCAGAGCCTCGGCGATCTCAAAGAGTGTGGATTTGGACATGCGGAAATTCTGGATCCACATGTCCTCATCCCAGAGTGGTAGCACCTCCTCTGCCCACCAGTTCCTTATCACCTGTGGTCTGACCCACCACCAGCGTGGACGGGGGACATTGGAGGCATGGAAAGCCTGGGCACCACAGTGGCGAAGACCAAACATCCACTAGAGCAATGCATGTGCTGGCGACCGACGCCAGCCAGCACAGCCCTGCGCCTCTGCTTGTGTTCCCGGTCCACCTTCTCTACCTCCGCCAACAACTCACGCATCTGTACAAGAGCAGACTCCATGGTCACAGCAATAAAAAATGCGCGAGTTCTGAGAGAGCTAGCAATGGCAACCGCATGGCAATGGCGATGGCAAGCATTGCTGTCTCTGCACATGTGCAAGAACATCATTGCTTGGTTATGTACGGGATTCTCTCACTTGTGTGTGAACGGCAAATACAGTTCCCGGGAGCGCTTTCCTTAATTGAGCGATGATGCTAGTTGTGTCTGATAGCCATTTACGTATTGTGGGATTTCTTTCGGTTTGTTCCTGGATTTATTCTTATTTTGCTTTCTTATCGCTTTGTGGCCCACGTGTGATAAGGTCCCATGATAGGGTTGCCATAAATCAGAAATGACTTGAAGGGAAACAACACAAGCTCATAGGGAAAAGCATTTTCACCTGGGGTTTTCCCCATGCAGTCATAAGTGCCTCTGTCAATTTTTCCAATTTTCTAGAAAGGCACGGGAGAGAATTTCACTTGATCTGCATTTTTTAGAGGAAGCAGAGTCAACTGACACTTCCTATGCTAATATAGTGTGGCATAATGGTGTGAGTACTGGACTATGACTCTGGAGACCAGGGTTCAATTCCCTGCTTGGCCATGTGAAACCCACTGGGTGATCTTGGGCAGGTCACATGCTCTCAGCCTCAGAGTAAGGCAATGGCAAACCTTCTCTGAACAATCTTGCCAAGAAAACCTCATGATAGGTTTGCCTTAGGGCAGGGGTAGGCAACCTGTCCCCTTTAAGGGCCGAGGGACTTCAGCTCCCAGAAGCCTCAGCCATGTTAGCCAATAGTCCCATGTTGGCCAATAGCTCCTGGGATTCTGGGAGCTGAAGTCCCTCAGCCCTTAAAGGGAACAGGTTGCCTACCCCTGCCTTAGGGTCATCATAAGTCAGAAACAACTTGAAGGCACACAACAACAAAGCTAATACACAGATCTCAAACCATTGTCTTTTGGATTGTATGAGGAATAAGCAACTACACTGAGGTCAGAAGCGAATTTTCCATCCCAGCCTCCCCTTTCCAAATAGCCTGCGCCTTCTTCCAGCAAACCAACATATCTTCTTTTCCTTCCATTTTCCCCTTGGAATGGCAATCAGAAGTGATGTCAGTCTGCTGGCATTAAACTGGATCTTGGCCACTGTAAAAGGGGGGGTATTTAAATAAATGAAAATGAAGTGACTGCAAAAGGCTGCATGTGGAAGAGAGTACTATGGACACTTAGCGGCAAAAATGTATGAATTTAGAAAAAATAATATGAAAAGAAATGCAGCATGTGTTTGTATCTGTATGTATGAAGATGTATGTTGTTTCATAGACTGCTAGAGAAACTGAATATGATAGATGTGAAAATCTGACATCAGCCAGAAATACATAAACATGGATGAATTCATGTACTCTTTGCATAGTGGTACTCAGTATGATATGTTTTTGTAATCAAATGAATCATCATGATTTATCAGAGATATCTTTGTGAGAAACAAACTCACTAAAAACCAGGTTATCAGATGACCAGAAAATAATCAATTCTATTCAGCATTCCTTGATTTGTGTTTGGAAACCATTAGACCTCTAAGATTTTTAAGACAAGTCATTCTCTCTCTCCCCCATGACCTTCTCAGTTTCATTCAGTGTGAACAAGGGAGAGGGCCTTCTTAGTGGCTGCTCCCAAACTTTCAAGCTCTCTTATTAGGGAGTCTGGGATGGTTCCCTCCTTGCTCTTCTTCTGTCAGAATGTAAAAATATTTTATGCCATCAGGCTTTTAAAAACTAATCAGAAAGAGCTTTCAGTGATGCACTGTGCTTTTGTGGTTATATATTCTTTTATATAGTCTTCTAATGAATTTTAATGGTTTTAATTTTATATTTTTTTTATCTTTTAAATAACATTTGAATGTCTACTTTGTATTGATGTTTTTGTATAGTTTTAAACTGTATTCTTTTAAATATGTTGTAAGCTGCCTTGAGTTCCAGTGCCAGGAGAAAGGCAAACTATAAATGAAAATAATTACAATAATAATTATATATTATATAATTATATATTGGATGGTATATATAATTATATAGACCCAATATGGTATAGTGGTTTGACTGTTGGATTATAGCTCTGGAGACCAGGGTTCAATTCCCAGCTTGGCCATGATACCTGCTGAGTGACCTTGGGCAAGTCACACTCTCTCAACCTCAGAGAAAGGCAATGGAAAATGTCCTCTGAATAAATCTTGTCAAGAAAACCTCACAATAGGGTCACCTTAGGGCAGTTATAAGTCTGAAAACTTGAAGGTAGACAACAACATCAAACAAATATATAATTATATAGTATCCAAAAACATAATAAATAATAATAATAATAAAATTTATTTATATCCCACCCCTCTGCAAAGCAATCGAGGTGGCTTACAACATTAAAATTAAGCATAAGCTTACGATACAATTCAGTAAAATCGAAGTCTACAAATCCCAAGCCCCCCTTTAAAAAAGCATTAAGCAAATCATAAATTAAAATATTTAAACTAAAACTCAGAGGCGAGAACAGTCTCCAGTAATATCCAACATAGTAGTAACTGCAGCAGAGCGTAATAGGAAGGAGGGTGGACTAACTCCTGGGACCGGGAAATTTAGTCAGTAAAGGCCTGCTGGAAGAGATCCGTCTTTTTTTGAAGCTACTTAATGTAGTAATATGACAGTTCTCATCTGGCAGGCTGTTCAATAATCTGGGAGCAGTTGCCAAGAAGGCCCTCTGTAGACAACCTTGTTTTTATCGGCTGCAACAAATTCCTCCCAGAGGACCGGAGTGTGCGGGGTGGATTATATGGGAGACGGCGGTCCCAGAGATAGGTTGGACCCAAGACATTTAGGGCTTTAAAGGTAGTAATCAACACCTTGTACTGTGCCCGGAAACTAATAGGCAGCCAGTGGAGAGATGTTAGTACTGAATCATAGAATCATAGAGTTGGAAGAGACCACAAGGGCCATCCATTCCAACCACCTGCAATGCAGGAACACCCAATCAAAGCATCCCTGACAGATGGTCATCCAGCCTCTGCTTAAAGACCTCCAAGGAAGGAGATCTTTAAGCAGAGGCTGGATGGCCATCTGTCAGGGATGCTTTGATTGGGTGTTCCTGCATTGCAGGGGGTTGTTATATGGTCTCTTCTAGATGAACCCAAGACCAGCCTGGCTGCCATGTTCTGTACTAATTGAAGTTTCTGGACCAAGCACGAGGGTAGCCCCATGTAGAGTGCATATCAGAAGTCCAGATGAAAGGCTACCAGAGCGTGTACCACAGTTTCAAGGTCCCTAATTTCCAGGAAAAGGCGTAGCTGGCGCATCAGCCAAAGCTGATAGCAGGCACTCCTAGCCATCACATTCACATGATTAGTCATCTGAAGCGATGAATCCAGGAGCACCCCCAGACTGCGAAAACAGTCTTTCACAGAGAGTGTGACCCCGTCCAGGTTGTATCCCAATACCTAGTTTCAGGGCCGCTACTGCTAGTACTTCCATTTTATCTGAATTCAGTCTCAATCTGGTTAGATTGGGCGCTCTTTTGCTACTCCTGAAAGGACTGGCATTTTGCTGCTCTTTTTGGGGTGGCAAAAGGGATGACCCCACGCCGCAGCCCCAATCCACTGCTTCCTGGGGTGGCTCTGTGCTGCCCATCTGTAGCCCCCTATGGTCAGCCTACAACAACAATAGTTCAGAATGGGGGGAAATTTCACTCCATCTGGATTTTTAAGCAAACTGACCTTTCCTAGAAACCTTCTAAGGGGGGAAGCAGACTGGCGGCACAGGGCCACCCTGGGAAGGTACGCTGCGGGACCAAGACATCCCCACGCCTCGATCCTGCAGCACACCTTCTCCGTCCCTGAAAGGAGCGCTAAAATAGCGCTCCTTTCACAAGTCAGCGAAAGTGCGCTGCAAAAGCTTGCAGCACACTTTCGCTGCCTTTTCCACCGCAGCGTGTCTGGACGCTGTGGCGGGAGGTTGCCCTTGGAGCGCTGGCCATGTGGAGGGCCGGAGGCTCCAAGGGCAACCTCAGGAGGAGGAAGGTGTGCCGAGCGTATGGCTGCCCCTCCTCTTCCTTGCCTCGAGGATGACTTTTTAAGCCATCTGCCGAGGCAGTAAATTGTCATTTGGATCTTATACAGTTAGCCTTTGATTATACCAGCAATGCATGTTTGTAGGCAAGATTGTCTTCCATCAGAGGCATGGGGGGGGCAGGGGCGTGGACATTACATGCACATGAGTTGAGCACAATGAAATACATTTTATTTCATGATTGGATTATGCTCACTTTGTGAAGCTGACTTTGAACAGTATGTGGAAATTTCACCTATTCCAAAGAGCTGCACTCAGTGGGGTTGGCTACATGGAGCACATAATATCCTTGCTTCAACAGCCCCCTGGTTGGTGGTCCACTTCTGGGCCCAACACAAAGTTCTGGTTATAAATTATACAGCTGAGATCCATGTTATCTGAAGGACCATATTTCCCCATATGAGCCTACCTAAGTTTTCGAGTCTTCCAGGTGGCCCTTCTCTCTATCCCACCACCCTCACAGTTACATCTGGTGGGAATGCATGAAAGTGGCTGCTCCTAGGCTCTGAGGCTGCTGTCACACAGCAGAATGCTGTATATACTCATGTATATAGTACATAAGTGTACTGATTTATGTATACTTATACATAAGTTGAGAAATTTTACTCAAAAAATTGACCCCAAAAAACGGAGTTGTCTTATCCACCTTTCAAAGTAAGTACTGTACTTTAAATCTTATTAAGAAAAGGGACCATCCCCTGGTGAAAAGCAAGAGGTTAATCTGTCCTGGAAGTACTGATCCCACTGTTCACTCTCTCATCCATCCAGCCTTTAGTATGAGCATAAACATTTGTGCCTGCTGGAATTTTATAAGGTCTTAGGCATTATATTGCTTCATCCTTTAGATCTTTTGTTACATGCCCCTAAGCTTTACCCTTGACTTTTCTGTGAGTCATATCAAAATCCATAATTTTGGCCCCAAAACCTGCTGTCAACATATACATGAGGTCAACTTATAGTTGAGTACATATGGTAATGCAGTTTGACACTACTTTAACTGTCATGGCTCCATCCTATGGCATCCTAGGATTTATACTTTGTTAGGGCATCAGAGCTCAGTGAGAGAAGGATAAATATCTCACAAAACTACACAGCCCCCTGAATTCCATATCATTGAGCCATGGCAGTTAAAGCTGAGTCAAAGTACATTAATTCTATAGTATGGATGCAATTTAAAATTCCCTTCCTAGACAGGTTAAACTGGTGCTCTGTTGTCTTTTCCCAAGCAGGTGAAGACTCTTTTCTTTCAGCCAGCCTTTGAGGACTGATTGCTCAAAGAAAATTGGCCTTACATAATGTGCTTTATTGTTATTTATTGTTTTCCTTTTAATGGCTAGATTTTAACTGGTTTTAATTACATTGATAATTACATTGGTAATTTAATTACATTTTATATGAGGTAGATTTTTAACTATGGTTCTTTAAACTATTGCAAGTTGCCTTGATCCTGAGAAAAAAAATTCCCCAGATGGAGACTTCTTGAGAATTTCAGTGTTCT